AAGCAGAGAAGACAGAAGTGATGAATTGCACTTTGGGACCACTTTCCTTGCAACAGCCCAGGTTATACTGAACTGCGAGAATGTGTCTGTTACACACACACACACACACACACACACAGACAGAAAGAGCCCAGGTGCGTGTGTATTTTTGCATGGGAATAAGATATTTAACACCTGTGTGCATTTTCTTACTTAAAGGGGAAGACGACTCTATTTTTCTTAATCAGTGCAGTCCGGCATTTTTCAGGAGGGGGGATGTTAAGCGATAGGTGCTAAAAAAAAAGTGAAACATATTGAGACAGAAAGTATGCAATGCCTTTTTTTAACATGGGAGAATGCCTCACACATTACGTGGAAACCCAAAGTACACAAATATCAGCCTGCCTTGGTGCATTTTATGTCCCCTCCAGTACTTGTCTGGTTTGGTCATCCACAGAGAGGACAGCAGGCTTCATGCTGTGCATCAGCATTTCTGAAAACCACATGTGAGCTTATTATTTAGAATGAGTATAGACCAGTATGTGCCAATTACTAACAATGTTTTTAAATTTGGTCTCAGAGCGGCAAAACAGGCTTTTCAAGGTCACATTCTCACATTCGCAGTGGTAGCTGTTTCCTTATTCCGACTTGTTTCACTTCACGCAACTTCTCCTTTGTAAATTTTACAACAGAACCGAAAGGCAGAAAACCCATGTACATATTTTCATCATGGCTGTGGTCACAATGAGCATCATGGAAGTGTGACTGCTTTTAAATACTTCAATTTTACTATCGGTTTCCATCAGACGTCCTCTGGGCTTCATGGTTAAATCTTTCACAATTTTCAATGAGATCACGCAGGGATTCTGTATCGCTGATTGGTTTCGGTCTCCTCATTGATCAATAACTCAGCAGGCAGGCGGAGCTGGTCCTCATCTCATCATCTCACCAGGCCAGTTGGAATGTCCATGCATCTGCTAATATATTACGGTTTGTTTCAGCAGATGGACGCAGCTTCGGTACACCGAGTGCGTGAGGCTTTTTGCATGTAACAATCGACCCTGCAACCGTACAAGCACTTAGCAACTGACTTTTTTTTGTGATTGACGCCAGGACGCTTACAGAGAACACGCGCTATGCGTGACCGTTAGCGCTGGAACGACCTGGCGTGCACAGAAAGCAATGAAGCAGTGTGTGTTGGGAGCATATGTGTTTCATTGAGCCTCAATCCACAATTGCGATTGCAGGCGTTTGGACATGACTGTGAGTGTAGGTGAGAGCAGGGAAGAATGTGTTATCCTGGATACAGTGTAGCGTGGCCGCGGCATGAAAAAGATCAAGGCTCATTTGATGGCCATCCTGCTCATTGTCATTTAGTTAGTGTTTCAGAGGTCCCCTATGGAAGATGCTGGTTCAGTGGCCCGACGCAATGAGTGTGAGCCAACAAGGCTTTAAAAGATGAGCGATTTAGCAGAATGGCTTGATTAGCTGGCTGCTGTGTGATAATGAGCTGTTGTCAGACGTTCGTGAGAGGATTCTCAAATGGGGAGTTTGGCCTCTATTAGCCTTTATTTACTGAAGGTAGTTTCTCTAACCACGCTTATCACCTTTTGCTGGTATTAGATGTTGAGTTGCATTACTTGAAACTCTTAGAAAAGTACTAAAATAAGCTATTCCAAGAAGTGAAAGTGATGGGATTGCAGTAAATAAATGTCTCACTTGTTGTGAAATAGGTGCATGCTGTGATATGGAAAACAAGTTAAAAAAGATAAAAGAGACATTGTTCACCGTGGCTTTTTTTTTGAAAGTAGAACTTTTGGAAATATTCTTTCTATGTGAGAATTGGATGAGAAGATGTGTACCTCTCCAGCTGGTGAGCGCAGCCCCGGGCCGAGAAATATTCAGACAGGAATACGTTCAGGCTTTTTTTTCTTTTTATACAAATTAAACAAAAAGTATAATGTGTTGATTAGTAAGCTGAGGAGGTGCTTGTTGGGGGATTTTGATACCTTTGGATCGGCCAGTTGTAACTTCTTGTTTAGGGAGCGTACCTGCTAAGCCAGCAGTAGCCTCTGTTTAGCGTATACACATGACAATATCTAATATCTAACAAATTATATAAGTTACACAGAACAGCCATAACTTTCTATTTTGTTCATTTTTTTCTTTCAATTTACACATTTGTGAAAGCAACCCAGTAGCAAGTGTCATGAATTGGTGCTTATGGAATCAGTCCAAAGGCAGCTGAAGTGTTTCTACGGGAGCACAACCTGTAGCTTCAGTACCAAAAGAAAACCTTAATTTCCCCCATTTTATTCCCCTATCCTTCCATCTACCCGCGGGGGCTGAGGGAACTTACTTAATAATTTGGATTTGAGTGTGTATTTGTCTGTATGGACATTTGGAAGACTGCTCACAGTTTGCCACCAACCAGTAGCGAAAATGAGTGTGACCGAAGCGAATTTAAAATGTAGTGTTTATGAGAAACGTGAGAAAATCATTTCTAGTGGAAAATAGGAATTGATCAAGACAGCATAACGTCATGATAACATGTTTGTTAGTAACCAATTGGCTAATGTATGTATAGTATGTTATGTAACCCACCATCAGGTCGTGTTCGCATGCAAAGCTGAGCAGGAACATTAAGCAGCCATAAAGGGCAAAAGTGTTAGTGTCACATCGTTCACGTTGAATGCATCTCTAACTGGAGCTAGCTTGCTGGCATAGCGCGACAAAGTTGGTAATAAAATATGGTCTCTAGGAAGTTAGAAATTCCGTAAATAGTATGTGGGTGTTTGCAGAACAATCTCATGGACTAATCTCACACTAATAAACCCCAATGAGATTACATGGAACCTAAACTCGAAACCTTCTGTGATATGACAGATGGGTCTCGATTTTCATGAGTTTCAAGCTCAAGAACCAACTTAATATTTCATGGAACACAGCAATTATCCTCCAGGCAGAAATATTCTCACTGCTGCTTTCCAACACTCTGGTATAGTCGGCGGTTTCAGATATATTACAGCAGAAACACAGAAGACTTTGCTTATGCTCTCATTGCCATAGAAACTGGGTAAAAATGTTGCCTTCTCTGAAGATATTATTGTGGTTTGTTTGGCGGTGTAGTGGTGAGGCAGGCAGATGCACGCTACGAGGCAGTGGGGGAGGATTTAGAGGCTGTGAATCGGCAATGATATGATGCTCTGGTAAGAGGAGACAACACGGCTGCGTGAGGAATGGTGGAGAGTGTTTGTGGTTTCTATCAATTTTATTTTTAAGGTATTTGGAGTATGTTGATTTATTTTGGATTCATTAAATAGCATTTTGACCACCGAAAATGCAGCAGTTCACAAGGTCTGAGTATTAGATGCTTGTTTTTAAAGATGTATCTTTACTTTACTATAAATTGAGACTCGCCCTGCAGAATAAAGACAACTAGCAGCTCCAGTTTGGTGAAATAAATTGTCTTGAAGTTTAATTTTAGAGCAGTCCTTTAATGACGCGTAGTATTGAATGTTTAAAGGAAATCTTGGCCCCTCACAATACTATGTTTTCCTTTTATTTGTTTTGTCTTCGGCAAAAAGGGCTGTTCAGACCTGTGCAACTTAATTCTGTATCTAATTGTTGTTTGAGAGCAACCTTTCCTGGAGGCTTCTTTCTGAGCGCTACCATTCTGTTCAATAGACATACGAGGACAAACCACTCTATGAGCCATGCTTCTGTACTTGGCTACACTTCTTTGGGGCATAGACAGTCTCAAATTGTTGAGACAGGTGTTATTTTGTCTGTACAACAATAAGAAATGTAATAGAAAATGAAGATGAAAGAAAAGGCATCCTTGCCTTTCCACCCATTCGGATGTTTCTGTGCTTTAATAAAAACTCTGTTTGTGGGCGCATTGGTTGTGTTGGCATCTGCATGTCTGCAAGTGTGCGTCTGTGTACTGTTCTTTCATGCATATTGTGTACTTGCTGGAATGCGTTTGGACGTGGATGGTTGTGCGTGCGTTGTGTGTCCTGGAATTGCTCAGTGTATGTGTGTGTGTGTGTGTGTGTGTGTGTGTGTGTGAGAGTAATATGTCCTTGAGGGGTGTGAATTAGCTTGCGGTGTAAAGTGCATGCTCCACGCTGACACAGAACTCTGATCAGCTGTGTTGAAAAGACAAATAATGCGTACTCTTCTTCCCTCTGTCATTATTTTACATGGTCCCCACGGCCCTCCTCCCCATCTTACCGTCTTCTCCCGTCCCTCCCACCCTCTACCGCCTCCTTCGCTTTCTCGCCCTCCAGTCTCGCCGCTCCCATTTTTCTTGTGCTCTCCGGCCCTCAATCCTTTATTTTTCTTTCCTCCTCTTTAGTCCGTCCTTTTCAACTTTCGAAATGGCCTAATTGCTCTTGGTCATTCTCATCCATCTCTGTCCCTCTCACCCCCTCCCGTCGCATCTCATCGCATGCCATCCTTCTTTGCAACCTCCTCTGGTGTGGATCAGCACTTATCCAATCGAAATACCATAATACGAAACAAAATACCACTCGGCCTTAGGTGAAAGTGGTTCCCAATCCAAGAACTATCCATTATATAATAACTAAAAAATGATACTTGAAATGGAATTTGAGTCCTTAATACATTTATTCTTAGCTGTTTTAATTTGGAATCACAACTATATACAGACAGCTGTACTGTCATGTTCTGCATGTCAACTTATTGATTATATTCTGTGGATGCAGCCCTGCAGGTTAGGGTTGGTCAGTGAAGGGGTGATTCTTCTAGGACTGTTCACACACACACACACACACACACACACACACACACACACACACACACACACACACACACACACACACACACACACACACACACACACACACAGAAATAGCTGTCAGCCTTATCCCCTCTGTTCACATCAGCACACCCTCAGAGAGAGAGAGAGAGAGAGAGAGAGAGAGAGAGAGAGAGAGAGAGAGAGAGAGAGAGAGAGAGAGAGAGAGAGAGAGCGCGCTTGCTCCCTCTGTCGCTGCTGCTTGAGGAGAGAAGGCGCTTATTCCGCTGCTGGATGAGGGACCGAGCGGAGGGAACAATGAGCAGATACAGGGATGAGTGAATGAATGAACGCATCCCGACCCGGGCATCTTCCACAGTAGAGAATCGGTGAGAAGAAACAGACAACGTTGTTGCTTTTCCAAATCCATTTATTGACGTGTCCTCTTATTGGTGTGTGTGTGTGTGATCCGTGCGTAAGAGGGAAAGGGCACCGGCGGATCGCGTGAGTAGTACGTGCGCACGTGAAGCGCGGGGTACAGTCACTTTGACAGTCCAGGTGATTGCAGCGGATCGGTTCCCGGGGGAGCACGGAAGCTGTCGGCGGGAGATCGGGTGGCGGGTGATCGCGCAGGTCCCGGGGAGAGGTCGCGGAGGAATCGACCGGACCGCTCCGATCGGGCATCTACCGCGCGCACAGTCTCCGTCGGAGAGCCTCGCTGGAGAACGGGGGCTGTCGTTATCCCCCAAAGCTGCAGGGGCATTACCCTCACGAGCGGGGTTGGGGACCGAGCACGCGGTGATGGCCGGGGAGGCAGATTAAGGTCAGGCATAGTGAACGCATCCGAGAATGGAGGAGCTGCGGTTTGGGTCAGGGTGCACGAGAGGAATGGATAGGGACCACATGTATTATGAGATTAACGATGGTGATGAAATTGATTACATTGAAACGCACAATTGCAGTTATTTTTCTTTAAATTCCATTCAGATCAGGGCTACAATAGAGGGATCATTATGTTTACATGTTTTTTAATAAATACATTTTTACTGGTGATGGCGATGGTGGTGGTGCTGCTGCTGATGATGATGAGGTTTGTGGTACTGGTGCTGATGGTGGTAGTGCTATTTGTTGATGTCTATTTTAATGGTTTCAATATCACTATATTTCCATACACTACATTTCTAAATCTGTAAAGCGCTCTGAACGTATAGAGTTTTACAAATGAAGTTGTGCTGATTGATTGTTCGTGCTGGTGGTGAGGACACTGGTGGAGATGATGAAAATGGCTGTGACGGAGGTTTGATGATCATGATGACTACATATATCAATGATGAAGAGGAGGAGCAGCACAATGATGATGATGATAATGCTGGTGATGATAATTTAAATGGGTGTGATGGGAGTTCTGATGATGATGATGATGATGATGGCTGAGATGAGGGCACCATAATGACGACGATGAAGACGGTGCCAGTAACAATTCACAATGGTGTTATATGGGGGAAGCTTTGATGAAGATGATGGTAGTTTTACTTATGGCAACACGATGATCGTGATGAAGACTTCCTCCACCACGGATGAATAATTAACATTAAGATATGTCGCCCTCTCAATAATTCAAAACACCCAAGCTGTCAAAGGAGATGTTTGCGTATCCCAAAACCCTTTATAGTTTCCATCAGCGACAGTAAGTCTTTGTGTTAAGCAGCTTCGATGCCGTCTAGCTGTCGGCTGCTACCTATAGCAGCCTTTTCTTCACTGCAAAAGCCGGTGTGGATCTGCAGGGTGGTGATAGAACACTTTGGACGATGCAGGCAGGCGTAGTTGTATGGTGCCAGCCAACAGTAAAGAATTTATTTCAGCAAAACCGTGTGATTTCATGATTAAAGGTCAGTTTCTTGAGTTAAGTCTTCTCGAGACAAGATGAAGCTGTCTCAGATTCTGAGTGCATTTCCAGTACCAGCAGAGTTGGAAGGGCTCTCAACTAACTGAGACACAGCGGCATTATATGTGTTGGGTGTTTCTTGTTGATTTTGTTCTAACCGTCCAGTTGTTTATCTTGGGTGAGCTGTGTCTGTGAATGACTGCAGGTCCAGACAAACCAGGTGTTTGGACATGAAAACCACATGCATTTATTCATTATTTTGTCAGAGGCCTAATCCTAGCAATGTCAACATTGATTTGGTCAGGATGTCACACTTGTGGTTTACATGTGGTACGTGTGTATGTGCTTCGCTACCTCCGTACCTGCTACGTCCGTGTATTTATGCTGGTGGACATAAATATCCCGGATTTACTCTGTTTATATCTGTCACTTCCTTCTTCATGTGTCTGCATCCTCAACTAATCCATTAATGACTTGTCAACACTTTGACTTGGCCGCTGGAGAAGGTGGCAACCAACATCTTGGCCTCTATTCTTGTGCTCGCTAATCTGCTTATGCGTATCGCTGGCACTGCTCTCCGGTCACTTGGGTTGTTACCAACACTGACCCCTGGGAGCCCAGGACTGGCAGCCTCGCGTGTCTTCCTGGGAGGGGACAGGAAAGTCCCCACGGTCATAATCCTCTTTGCTCCTGTGTGTTACGCTGTTAGTGATGCCGGCGGAGAGGTTGAGATGGATTTCTTTTTTTCTGAATAGTGTCAGGAGGAAGATGATGTTGACTGTACAGTTGAAAAAGTGGAAATAAAGAAGAGGTACGAGTCATGTAGCCGTGTTACCAGAGGGGAAATAACACACTTTTCTTTTCTCATACAGATGATTTTGAGATGCATTTTATTCTCACTGCAACCTGATTAATTAAGCGGCTGTAAGATATGAATGTGGGGACAGTCTTCTTTGGCTGTGGCACAAAGTCGTTGGCCTTTCTTTTTTTTTTGTTTTATTCAGTGGTTGACATTCATGAATGGCGCCCAATATGCCGCTGGCTCTGCCCAAATGCCACGTCACATATTGACACCTCAACGGTTGCTGGACTGCAGTCGGCTCTGAATGAATGAAAGAGTTGGGCTCATCCTCTCAAACTAGTCGGTGAAGTGAAGTCTGTGCAGGCCTTTGTAACATCCGGCAATAAAATCGCTAACGTCTGATAGTATTGGGGAACACTCGCTATAAGAAAAGAGTTGAAATTTGTTTAACACAATTTGAAGTTGGGTCTGAAAAAAAAAAATCAATAATCATTCTTCTAGAGGGCAGGAACAATATGAGCTTCAGATTTATTCTGAATAACACCCAGTGAGTTAAAAAAAAAGAAATTGGGTGGTGCCAATCCAATATCACCCTGATTTGTCTCGTGGGGCCAAACAGGATGGCCGGGGCCTCCCACATCATTCATTCCACTCAGTTTCCAATCACTCCTAGGGCATCACTTCAGCGGTTCATTTGACAGGTTTATTGCCAGATGGTGTCATTTCCAAGCTGAGTGGCAGTTCCTGATGTACCCACTGTGATCCCACTTGCATGGTGAAGTCATTTGCCCCTCACACTTGTGTACCTCATTTAGTCCTTCGGAAGTAAAACTGCAAATGATGAAATGGGTAATTTTTTGGTTGAAGCACGGATTGCTGCATGCACTATTTTTTCTTAGTGGTCGTATTGACCAAACCAGTGCGAATCTTACTGAATTACTCTCCTTTCTGTATTTTTTTTTCTCCACTTAGAAGTGGGGAATTATTTGTTTGAACTCACTCCATTTACTACGCTCATCCTACAAGGCTCTTTGAAAGTACATTGATACTAAGCAGTGGGGGAAATGTTTTTTTCTGTACATCCCCAGATGTAAAGCCTATTTGTTCCTACTAGCTCCTTGGATTCATTGGATTAATTATAACGCTGCAGATCTTGTGTAAATATGTTTAACAATGAGAGGGCAGAGATGAATGTGGTTGATGAGAGAGCCGCTACAACGGAGAGATCCACTTAAATATCTTCAGTGCAGAAGCATCCCTCTGTATTCTACTTATCCAATCTCAAGTGGCAAATGTAGATAACGTTGTTTTCAGATGCATTGGTTTCTCTCAGTATTCCTCAATCAGACAAGAAACAATCCATCACAGTCAGAGATAGCAGGTCCTCCGTGTACAGTCTCCCCAATAGATAAAGATGCAATTCCGTAACAAGGCCTGTATGGATTTAAAGGGACTTTTTGAAGCAGTCATCCCTCACTGAGGTACATGGTGTAGGTGGAAAAAAGCTAAGTGCACCAACAGAAAAGTCTTGCGGAAATTTCTTTGGCAAGCGAACTGCTTTGTGTGTGATAGAAAGCAGAAAAGAAGCAAAGTACAAGAGAGTCTGCTCTTACGGATATGGATTATTTAGCCTAAGCCCATGTTGTTCTAAATGGAAGCTTCTGACGCTTCAATTACAGGAAACGGTGGAGGTTTAAAACATCATTTATTCAGCAATATATCCAAAGTTTGCTTACATTAACTTCATTAAGCTATTTGTTGTATCAGATCAAATAGGGCTGTAGCAGCCAATCCCTTAATGTTATGAGCTGAGCCGTGGTGTGTTTCCTGTACATTATAACATCTCATTTTAGTCTCAATCCTAATTCCTAATTTGCATAAAAGTAAGCAATAATCTTGGAAACGGGGTTGAATTAAACTGTTTTGGCCAACAGTTAACCTGATAGGATGAAACATGATATCCAGTTCTACCTGACTGGTTTAAAATTTGTTCTTTATTTGCAGAATCCGTCACCTCATTTATCTTCAAAGATTAGCAACAATCCCACGTGTCTGCCGCTGCACTTAGTCCCGTCGTTGTCCTCCAGTCCCTGAGTCAACATGTAGTTACAAAGACAGAGATCCTCCAATGTCCTCCAACTTAGCCCAAAAGTTTACACAGAGCACCCGAAAACTGACAGGCGTGCATTTCCAAACACAAACGCACCCGAGGGGGCCGTCACCTCTTGCCACCCCACCAGATGATGCTCACAGGTGAGCTGGGCATTGATATGCAGAGCTGCTGTCTCCGGTGCTGCGGAGAATGGAAAGCTCCGAGGTGGAGGGGAGCCGTTGTTTTCATGAATAACCTTGGTTAGTGTACGCAGGTGAATCCGCCTTTCGTTCTGTGTCTGTAGCTGTCTGTGTGGTTTTCTGTCGTCATTGTTATCACATTTGAATTTTCTGTCACTGAGGCTGCACCAGGTGGGGAGAAATTACTCTGTGGTTTTGATTTTCAAAAGATCGAGAAAGAAAAAACAAACAAACATAGCTTTTGTCCTTTTTTCCGGTCACTGTCGGAGGTCAGATTGAGTGCAATCTGCTCTTTTCAATTCATCACTGGGTTGCCTGGTGTGAAATAGACACAGGCGTATCCAATTAACTGTGAAAATGGCCACTGATGAAGAATACATCGACCTTTCAGGCTTTTCTGAATGTACGGG